AACAAAGTTGAAATTTGAGCTCCACTCTTTGTAAGTCTAAATTTGTAATCATTTCCTAATAGGAGGATAAGTTCATGGAAAATGTATATCATATATACTATGAAAAATTATGCATGTATTTCAAACATTTTTGTGCTGAAGTTTTTTCCATGACTTTTTTTTTAATTTGGAATGAGCAGAAATGAGTAGAGAGATAAAAAAGAGATCTTCCATTTCTCAAATGTCTGTAATACTGAAAGATGGTCCAGGTGCAAACCAGGAGCTGGGAATTCAGTCAAGGTCTTCCACGTTGCGGGGCAGAGACTCAAGCACTGAGGCCATCAAATGCTGATGCCAGAACACATATGGGCAGGAAGCTGGAATGGCTACCAGATCTAGGACTTCAACCCAGGCCCTCCAGTGTAGGTTGCTGGGGTCCTAGGCAGTAGTCTAACTGTTGACCTACATGCCTGCCTCTCCACAAACATTTTGAATTCATATAACAAAAATGGCAGAGTCTACTCCAAGTGATCAGCTAGAGCTCTTGACAATGTTGTGTTTGAAGAGTCAAGCTCCAGGTTGGCAGGCAAGTGACCATCTGTGATGCAGGAGGTGGGTCAGCCATGGGCCCAGCTGACATGCTGCACCTCTGTGCTGATCCCTGGACTGTGCTTTCTTAGGCTAGAGTGGCGTCTCCAGTGAACCTGCACTGGGAACATAGCATTTGGCTTACAGTAGATGAACAGTGCACGGATATTGCTTGATAGTGATGCCAGAAGACCCTGCCTCACAGAAGGTGCAGGAGCACGGCCGATAGCATGCTGGGGGAAACCTGAGGGAATATGACTCCTCCCAAACCACTCAAGCAACTTTCGCCCAATGACTGATGTCAGACCAACATGCCTGCCAAATAAAGCATGGGCTTAAGGAATCATGTGTCCACCGAAAAGACTGATCAAGTGCTAAAAGTCAGTCCATGATAATCCTCTTCCTGTGAGCTATATCTGGTAACAGAGAAGCCATATGTCGTCTTGGATACCAGCCGCCTACTCCTGCCCATGGTTACTGTCAAGGTCACGCATCTACAGCGCTAACCTACAACCTGTTTTCAGCTCAGGATGTCCCTTTGGCCCCCACCAGCCTCCCATACTCCAGCAACAACGGATCAGAAAGGGAGACAAGGTGTTTTTAACCTGTGTCACCACACATCCCTGCGGGAGAAAGCACTGTTCACCAGCAACCTCCTCTAAACAGGGCTTTCCTTCCCTCCCCTCCTCCCCCTGAATTTCAAACCCCCAACTGGGGCTCCCTGCTTCCCTCCCAGACTGTCTCCAGCCTCGGGCCGGGTGCTCTCTATTTCCGTTTCATCCCTTTTTCCATACCTCTGTGTGGGGATGTGTCCAGGGACCCAGGCCAAAACCAGCAAATTTATCAACGTGGTCATGACAGCAAGCTGCAGGCTGAGTGGATTCCACAATCCCCCCTCAGTCCCTTCTTCTGCCAAAACCTTGCGGGGCTGTGAGATCCAGCAGATTATAGAGACCACTATCTCCCCTGCTGGAAAAGGCCAGGCGGTATCCGCCAACAGGCTATTTTTGGAAATGTGTTAGGGAAGTCTCAAAAAAGAAAAAAAAAATCCCCATATGGTGGAAGACATTAGTCAGTTCACCAAAATAGAGCATCCCTCACTGCATTCCAAAGCGACCTTTAGCGATATGTCATTTTATAATGACCCACTCACCTTTGTCCCCTTGGGACTCCTCCTGATGCTGAAAATGAAGTCTGTTGGAGTTCACAGACCTACCAGTCCATGTAGCAAATGTCCCCTTCCCACCCCAAGCCAGGGGTCGTGGCCAGTCCTCAGGCTCATCATTCCAACACAAGCTCCCTGGGTGTGGGGGCTGCACACTGAGGAGACTCACTGTCAAGGACGCTTAGTGTCAGGCAGGCTCCTCGTCAGTGTGGTGGGGTGGGGGGGTTGTTCTTTCAGAGAGGAACACATCCTGGGGTGTGCTGTGAAGGAACAGGTCCCAGGCCACAGGCTGCACTAGGGAGCACCTGAGCCAATACCCAGGAGACTGTCACTGGCTGTCCTCATCCACAGGGCCCTGGAGCCCTTCCTGACCTGCCTCGGCGTGCTGCGCTGTGCTTATTTGGGACATACTTATGCTGCTATGCTTTTTTTTTTTAATGAAAAAACAAATTCCTACTAGAAAGATGCAAAGATAAAACAGAGGCAAGATCATATATTGAACACATTTTGTTTTGAAGACTTCTTACTTTAATTAGTAACATTTAAAACATAGCTACCCTTCGGGTACCTGGTGTCTATAACTGACTTAAACATAAGAGCCAAGAATATATCACCTCTGAGAGACTGTGCTGTTTAAAAATCCTGTCCTGCCAGCCCAAAGTTTTGGGACCCTGCACCCAAAGGGAGTCTCGGAAGAGGCTCCTGGCTTCGGATCGGCATAGCATCAGCCGTTGCGCTCACTTGGGGAGTGAATCATCGGATGGAAGATCTTCCTCTCTGTCTCTCCTCTCTGTATATCCGCCTTTCAAATAAAAAAAAATAATAAAAATAAAATCTTTTAAAAAAATTCCTGTCCCACAATGTTTGATGCAGAGTGGAGTCTCAGCACTGCTCTAGGTTTATGCTCCTAACTCTTTTTTTGGACAAGTCAGAGAGAGAAAATTATTTTCCCATTTGCTGATTCACTCCCCCAAATGCCCACAAGAACCAGGGCTCAGCCAGATCAAAGCCAGCAACCAGGAGGAACTTAGTCCAGGTCTCCCACACAGGTAGCAGGGACCTAAGGACTTGAGCCGTCACCTGCTTGCTTCCGGGATGTGCATCCGTCAGCAGCTGGATTGGAAATGGAGGAGTTGGCTGGACTCAACCAGGCATACTGATGTTAGATGCAGGCATCTTAAAGGGAAACTTAACCACTGTGCCACACATGCACCCCTTCTAACTGTATTCTGCTAGAGACAATAAGGGTCATGTGCAGGGTCTGGGTGGGAGCATTTTGTCAGCGGCTGTGACTGCTCCAGGTGTTAGGTCAATCCCCCCAGGAGTCGTCACTAAGTGTTCACTGCCCAGCTGCCCCTCAGCTTTACCCAAAGTTCCCACCCTTCCCAACTGGGAATTAGGGAGCAAATATTGCTTGAGCCTATGGGTGGCTTCCTCTAACAGGAGGACAAGCAGAAGGCAAGGCAGAGATTTGCAGGTACCTGGTAACAGTGGCCTCTGGGGGAGCACTGAAAGGCAGGGGTGTGCAGAGAGGGCATGCAGGTGGAAGGACCTAGGTGGACTCATTCTCAGGCCTATCCCATGCTGATGGAGAGAACACGACAGATCCAGGTACTGAAATTGGGACTGGGAGCAGGTGCCACTTCTCATACACAGCTTAGGCAAAGGGACATCCCAAACTCAGGCAGGCTGAGGCGGAGATGCACATTTCATCTGTAGAAGGGATTGCCACCTCCAGTGGCAAGTTAAACTGGAGGACCTCTGCCATCCTTTGCCCAGTCATAGCATGCACAGAGTCCCCAGGACCTTTCTGTGAGCAACACAGTGTCCTGTCATTGCCACGGCCTTCTGGTCTCCTGAACGTTCAGTCCAGCTATAGCCTGGGAGGGCAAGGATGCACTTTAGATGAGGAAAAATCTCTATGAGACATAGTGAGCAAAAAAGTTCCCGGCTGTCTCAGAATCCCTGTTGAACTGGTGATACACACACACGCACTTACACATGGGACTTATCACAGAGTCCTGGGCCCTGGGAAAGAAGTACTCACGGGTTTGCTATTGTACCCACCCATCCAGTAACACACCCATCCAGTTCTAGGGACAACAGCAGCCTGGAGACCGCTGTCCCCTGAATGCTGCCCGAGACAGATTTCCTTGCCCTCCTAGCGGTGCAGGTGGCCTCACAGCACATGTCTGAGCATCTTCAGGGAAGGTCATGTGGTCTATTTGAAGCCACCAGGATCCATTTTGAGGTCCCCTCCCCTGCCATAACCCCTAGGAGATGTCTCTTCCTCAGGTGGAGTCCCATTTGTCTTCCTTCACCCAACCTGACCTCTGCCCTTGGGCTAACGCAGGAATGAATGTGTTCTCTGGGCCATGTGACAGCGCTGACATTGCTACCTCCTCAACTCTCAGGTCCTTTATTTCTCCAGCTAAACCTGTCAGGTCTGCAAATGTGTCTCATTGGCATGGCTTCAGACCCGCCCGCCGCCCACATGTCACCTTCTGGATTCTTTTCTTTTTTTTTACTTCACTAGTGTTCCTGATAGTTGCTGCCAGAACAGATAGCACCTATGGGCCCATCACTACTTGGTCTACATGCTAGACTTTTATTAATAGAATCTAGAATTATGAGTTTCACACCATTCAAGCAACTGTTATTGTTCATTAACTAAGACTGCCAGTATTTTAATTTAACACAGTATCATATGGTTCCAAAAACATGGGATGAATTCAGGGGTGAATGTTGTGGTGCAGCAGCTCAAGCTGCCACTGGAGACGTTCACATCTCACATCAGAGGCCCTGAGATCAAGTCTCAGTTCTGACACAGCATCTTGCTGATGTATGCCCCAAGAGAGGTAACAGGTGGATCTCCAACCCATGGCCATGGCGGGGTCCAGCCCCAGCTGTGTGGGCATGTGGGAATGAACCAGCAGATGGAAGAGCTCTTTACACACACATACAGTAAGTTATTATAAGTGCAAATGTGCCTCTCCCTTCCCTGCAAACAAGAAGAACCCACCTAAGATAAAAAGGGTCTAGAAAGGTTATGGGTGGGTGGCAGATGGAGCTCACCGACCCCAGAGGGGAGAGGCATGTCTGCACTGCCCCAGCATCTTACTGGCACATGAGGGCTCATCTTGGAAGCCAGGCCTGCTTTTGTCCCCTTACTCTCTTTTTGCTTGCCACTGCCTGCTGAGGCCAGGTCTCCCTCCAGCCCATTGGAAACTCATGATTGCAGGGTTGTTTTCTTTTTGTCTCTCTGCAGGTCATCTGAAGGAGGAACTCACCCAGCGACACATCCAGCAAGTAGCTCTAGGTAGGTACCAAATAGAGCCTGCAGGAAGAAGATGGGGAAGGCGAACCCCAACTACAAGATCATCCATGTTGCCCTGGGGGAGGTGAAGGCATGGGCTGCCATCAATGCAGCCGCTTTAGGGTGCTCCTCCTTCTTCGGGGGACCAGCTGCCCCAGTCAGGCTGTCCTCACCTGGAACTTCACCCTCCCAACCACTGTCCTTCACATCCCACCTGCTGGGTCCTGCCTTGAGCTTTCTAGAACCTCGGCCAATGCATCTTCACAGTTAACTGTTAATGATCAAAGCAGCCAGCCCCAGGGCACAACCTGAGGTGCATCTTCTCTTCACAAACCCTGCCAGAGGTAAGTGCATTGGCCAGGTGTGAGTGGCATGGCTGACACTTGTCCTAGCTCACTTTCTGTTGCTAATAACATAACCCTGCACCCCAAGTACATTTTAGAGAAAAGAAGCTTTTTGTGGTTGATAGTTCTGAAGGTCAGAGGTTGAAAAGCCTCATCAGGTGATGAGTTTCTGTGCTGGCAGAGTCTTGAGGCAATGCAGAACACACATGCGATGAAAAGCAGCGTGTGTGTGTGTGTGTGTGTGTGTGTGTGTGTGTGTGTGCGCCCTCTGTTCTCTCTATCTTCTTAGAAGGCCAGCAGAATGCAAGCAGGGCTGCACTAGAAGACCTTATCTAACCCCAATCACCACCTCTGAACACCACAGTCAGTTTAAGCCTGTGGACTCAATACCTCCTGACAGGGATTAAGTTCCAAATTCACTGACTCCATACTTATACTTTTACCCCCGTGCAGTTGACTGCCCAACCCCCATCAGCTGTGGACCCATTCCCATGCCTTCGTAATACAAATGCTGAACAAGACAGTCCTATTCTAAGTGGCCCTTGGCACCTTTTGAGCAGTGGACATCTGCGGAAACCACGCCCTTTGAGTCTGTGACCCAGAGAAAGTCATCCAGGAGAGTCTAGCTCCCAGGCAGGCAGGTGGAGCAGGCATTCCAGGCAGAACCACTCTGTTTTCTCACCAGCTGCCCAGAGACCGCACAGCTTCAGTAAAAAAAAAAATATATATATATATATATATATATATATATATATATATATATATATATATATATGTATCTCCTTTCCGATGTTGGGGCTCCCCACTGGGATGGCCTAGGCCTTACAGGGGAGAAACCTAGCATTGAGGGCCAGTGGTCGAGAAACGGAAGAGGGTCCCCAGTGCCCAGAGGGTGCCCCAGGTGGCCCTCGTAACTTGGATCTGCAAGAAGGTTGGTTAGCATCACTGATGAGAGTAATACAAAAATAGAACCTCTCTCCCTGGAAGCATTGCTAACGTGACCGTCTGGGCCTCTGAACTCTGCTCCAGGCTCAGTCCAGGAGGCTCCCTGGGAATGTGTCATCACCAGGGCCTCCTCCCCAGCCTCCCTGATGCAGATGCACTGGCAACAGTGATGGGGAAACACTCCCCCAACTACCCCACAAAGAACGTTCCCTCTCAGGCCCCAGAAGCTTTCAGAGCATGCTTCCAAACACACAGGCATGCTATGTACAACAGGTTGTACAGGCACAAACTGTAAGGGCAATAGGTGCTCTCTCCCCTCCACAACCAAGTACCCAGCCTTCCCAGGGCCGATCCAGCCAGCCAGGGCAGGCCTTCCCTCCCCCAGCTTCCCTGGCTATCTGTTGTCAGATGCAAGTTTGGGCCCTGGTCCCTCTGTTCCTCTCTCTGGGAGTTTCTCCTGATTCGTAGCAGGTGTGGTGTTCAGCCAGGGACCAGCTTTCCCTGAAGTCCTCAGCCAACTTCAAACACAAAACACTCTGGCTGGAAGTCTAATTAAGAGCATCTGAAACACCTATTTATTTCAAAAGCGTGTCACCCCAATTAGACAGGAAGTATTAACATCACCACTTGGAGATAAAATGCCAGGCGGGCCCCCAGGCCCCTCAGGAGGTATCTGCAGGCATTTAGGAATGCTGGCACGCATGCCCCCCACACTGCTAGAGCAGTATGCAGAACCAGTATGTATGTATCTAGACTGCATGTAGAACCAAGGCCTGCCCTACCCGCAACCTGCAGGCTGGCCCAGGCTGGGGCTTGCCGCTGTCCCAGATGTGGGTTGCGGAGGGGAGGGAGTGAAGCAGGAGCTGATATGCCCTGTCCTTGCCTGGATGCCTGCCTGGCACTGTGTCCTCCTCTCTCCTCCCTGTGTGCTCTGCTTCCCCTGTGTGCTCCTCTATCTCTGCTTCCATGGTTGCGGCTTGCCCTTGTTACTGTCTCCTTTGCCTACCTAGTCCCAAATCCCACGCAATGCAGTGCAGGTTTGCAGGAGCAAGAAGGAGGAGAGGCAGTGGAGGCAAAAGGTCCAAGTGAGCAGGAGAGGTTTGTTTGTGTGTGTTGCCTGGGAATGTGACTCTGGGTGTCCCAAGGCATTGGCCTGAAGGTCACCTCCCATCCCAGGGGAGCCACGATTAAGCCTATGACAGGAAAGGCCTCTCTTGGGAGCGACTTTTGCCTGGTGGGAGATGTTCAGAAGCCAGCTTTGTCCTAGCAGCCCTGGTGAATCCTTCAGGAATCTGGGGAATTGTTACTAAACACCCGTGTTAGGGGAATGACATTGTATAAGCTTGCAGTGAATTACACCATAAAACAAAATTTACAAATCCTCAAAACTCATCACTTCCTGATGACTTCACTGTGTTGTTCTGGAATCTTTGCTCCTGAAGTTTGTCATGCCCCATACCCATATGGAAGAGACACTCCACCATGCTGTGCCATGTGCACGTTCCCCACATCCACACATTCAGGGTGCAGCCACATACCCACAGTGAGTGACATCACACTGCCAGCTCGCCATGGGCCATTCACGCCAAGAAAACCAACAAACGCAGCAGATCAGTACATTTTTATTTTCCAGGATCACCTGGTAGATGTTGACCACCATACCACTGGCACACCAGAATCCTTTTCACCAAGATCATGCATGTATATTCTCTGTGTGTGTCGTGCTCCCTCCCCAGGCTGAAATACAGAGTCTGGTTTTCTCTTTATTTCCCACCCACCCAAGACACACCAACAATCATACATTTCTACCAGACCAGAATCCTTTTGAAAACCAGCAGGCAGGAAAACCAGTAAAGCCAGAGATGAGATAGGGAAATTCTGGGTCCCAGGGAGTTCCCAGGAAGTGACGGCCAGAGCTGGGAGTGGGAGCACCCTCCAAGAGGAGCTACAGTGACCAGTTCTAAGGATGACCTCAACAAACAGAAGTTACTGGTGGACTTGGAGGGGGACTCACTTCCACACACTGTTTGGGGTGATAAAATAAGGCTATTTCTTTTACTAAATATTTATTTGAAAAGCACACTTACAGGGGGAGGGAGGCAGGGATGGAGGGAGAGAGAGAGACAGAGAGAGAAAATCTTCCATGCATTGATTCACTCCCCAAATGGCTGCACCAGCCATAGCTGGGCCAAGCTGAAGCCAAGAGCCTAAAACTCCATCCAATACTCCCATGTGGGTGGCAGGGGCTTTTCCAGGGGCCTTTGTAGGGTGGCTGCATCTGAAGTGGAGCAGCCAAGACTAGAACCAGCACTCCTATGGGATGCCAGTGTCACAGGTAACAGTTTAAGGCACTACGCCACAATCCTGGCACCAACCATGTTATTTATATACTAGACATCATTGTCAAGTCATGCTGATTTAACCAGGTGCAGCCAGCTGGGCTGAGGCTGAGGCTGACCACTCTGAGGGTACCATCCACCCTAAATGGCACAGGATGGTAGATCATGCCGATGGAGCTCACCAGCCAGCGTTTCTGAGTGCTCTACACTGTGCCTGGTAGGATTTTGATTCTTCTGCACACACTTCCGTAATGTGCACAAAATCCTCATGAGGGAAAGGCTGCTGCCAGCCTCGCTCTCTGGCAAAAGCCCCCAAGAGGTTCTGTGAACTATCTCACTTTGCTCAGCCTGGCTCTGAGCCCATGCTCTGGGTACCACAGTACTGCACTGCCCTCAGCCCCCTGCCCGGAATCCTGGAGAAGTGCACAGAAGGGCACACACCCAAGGCCTGCCCTCCAAGAGCCTCCAGTCCAACCAGGAAGAGTGGACAGACTTGGAAAGTAGCAACTCCTTTTACAACTTCAGATCCAGATCTGTTTGTTCTTCCATCCACGGTCCCCTTCCTGCAGGGACTACAGCTACTTCAACCTCGACCTCCCTCCAATGAAGCCTCCCTGACCTCTTCTCCCTAAGTCGGCTTTGCTTCTAGCTCCCTGCTTCCCTGGTAGATTGTGTTGCAATCGAACCCCTCATACAGCGATCCTCCATCCTAATGTGAGAGTGAAAGCTGAGTGCCATCAGGTTGACCTCTGTAAGCCCCAGCAGCTGGCACCAGCACCCAGCGGGCCAACTCCACGGCCATGCAAAGGCTGCCCCAGATGCCTTCCAGACGCACACATCTCGCAAAGGTGCAGCAAGACGTCAGACGTAAATAAAAGAAAGCCCATCGGAAAGAAGGAGTGAGTGCTTCTGGACCCCACAGCCAAACAAATTACAACACACAGGCAATAAATCTGGTGTGTGTCTGTCTCACCACTCTGCAAAAGGAGAAGGACCCAGAGCCACACAGTTTTCATTTTCTGACAGCAGGAAGCACACTAACTAATTTATCTGAAGAAATAGAATTTCTTCCTGGAACTAAACACAAGCCAGAATTTATCGCGTGAATCCTGCTGTAAAGGACACTGAGTGATGTCTTCAGCCGCAGTTTTACAGGAAACACCGAAGTGTTGTTCAACCAGATGATTCTTGTATCGACCCTCCATAAAAGCTACAGGCCTGACGTTCAAGCGTAACTCACCGAGCACATCTGTGCGAGCAGCCAAGACAGTATGACCCAGGTCCTCTGTTCCCCTTTGGTCCCACAAAACAGGGATCTAAGAAGCAAAACCCGCTCTGGGACTGTGGGCCACTGCCTCCTCTCTCCAAATGCCTC